ACAGTGTCACATTTAGGCCCTTCTGGCAAAAGTCAAGACCATGTTTTTGCTATCAGAGACCCTTCACTTTTAAACAAACTGCCCGAGGAGATTAGGCTTGGAAATTAAATAAACTCCTTTAAATCACTTCTTAAAAGACACTTTTAAAGACTTGCTTTGATGTGGTTCCACATGTTTTACTTGGGAAGGGGATGAAGCAGCAAGAAGCTCAGATAATGGATGAAGTGGACAGTTTTCAGTGATTTCAACAGTAGGTTTCAAGTTTCAGGTTCTGTTTTAAGTAGCAAATTTTAAAACAACAGACGTTAGACCAAATTGCTTTATAGTTACACTCTCATGCAAACTAAAATGAGGAACAATAAATCCTTAAAATTTATTTAAAACTTCACACATTTCCAAAGAAGTTCTTAATCTATAAAGAGGATTTAGAACCCTACAAGGTTGACCCTACAGTAATACATACAGGGAACAACCTAAAAATCATATGACCCCCTATGAGCAAGCACTTTGGCGACAGTGGGAAGTAAAAACTCCCTTTTAACAGGAAGAAACCTCCAGCAGAACCAGGCTCAGGGAGGGGTGGGGCCATCTGCCACGACCTGTTGGGGTGAGAAAAGGATGACAGGACTAAAGACATGCTGGCTTATCACAGCACACAGCTGCAACATGTACACAATGGTCTACAAAACATAATTAAATAGCACCATACCTCTGCTCAGGTGGTCAGTGCCTCACCTCGCAAGAGCTGTAGTGGGTTGTGACATCTCCTCCAGACCTCAAAAAGCGGAAACTGCATTTGTAGGTCATGACATCACTTCCAACCAGCTGCATAAGTTTGCGGATTTATCACCAAATACCTACGGTAGGTAGTGGCATCATCTCAAGACAAAGTGCTGTGTCAGTTTGGGCATCATCTCCAGACAGAGGCCACTGCTGCAAGAGATTGTGGCATTTCCCTCTAACAGAGGCAGCTACTGTGGTGGGTCATTGCATCACCTCCAAACACCAGTAGGTTGTGGTATTATCACCAAATAGCTGTGGCAGGTTGGGCATCAATTCTGGACAGAGGCAGCTGCAGCAACAGATCATGGCATCGCCCCAAACAGCACTAGGTGGTCATGACAGCTGCTGCGGGAGTTTGTGGTATCACTGCAAACAGCCAATGCAGGTCTTGGCATCATCCTCAAACCACAGCATGCACCAAAAATGATTGAGGGCTGTCCTCTAAGTGCCACAGTCAGCTGCCGCTGCCACGTTTTGACCCCATCTTTGCTCCTGCAAAGCTCTGTGTAAGACAAACACACAACCATGGTGGTCCCTCAAGGCAGTCAGATAGAAGGTTCTCCAAGTCTCTAACTACATTTCCATGGTCTGAATTGAGTTGCTGTGCAAAATAAAGGAGGTCAAATATCTCCGGGTCTTGTTCACAAGTAAAGTGACATTGATGTGTGGATAGGTGCAGCGTCAGCAGTAAAGCGGAAGGCAAAGCTTTCCAGCTGCCGTCCTTGTTCCAACACTCATATAGTCACGAGCTTTGGGAGAAAGAATGCAGACACCAAGCGCCAAAATAAGCTTCCTCTTCAGGGTGGCCCTAAGAGACTATGAGGAGCAGAGTTATTTCTCCTTTTTGCTGAACACTGTCAGTTCATGCCTCTTGGTTGCTTTCCATTGGAACTTGATCCTTCCAAATGGTCAGATACCTGAGGGTAGACCCAGAAGATAATGAAGAAATACTACATCTCCAAAGATGTCTTAGCCTAGATATTTAGAATAAAATGTATGAATATGGATTTGATGTTATGAGAGCTTTAGAGGCGCTGCTAGTTGGATTTTGTTACCTTTTAAGAAAACTGTTTCATGAATAATGCATGTAGCTGCTCCCCAACGAGCCAAAGGTGCTTATCTAAGTAAGGTTATACAAACAAACAAAATGAGTGCTTTTCTGTGTACATTTAGTCTAACACACCTCATGACATCTCGGTCAGTATATTTTGCCCATTTCATCAGTTCTGCTCAGCAAACACGCCTGAACAATGTTTTTGTTTTTCCCTGCTCGTTGTTTTGGGGGGAAAGTAGGGCAAGAAATGCTGCAGGCTCATATAAGTCCCCGGCCTTTGAACACACACACTCACACACACACGGATCAAACGAACACGGATACATGAGCTCTAATAACTTCACTCTGATATCGTCACAGTGGAATGAAGTAAAGGGATGGCTAAGCAGGTTATGTTAGTGGAATGATTTATTTTTTTTCTTCCATCTCTGTGACTGTTTTCACGTATTCTGCTCTGAGGACATCAAAGGATGGATTTAATATCAAATGACCACATGGGTGTGAGTGTGTCTGCAAGATTTTGAGGAGACAGGGAGGCTGGTGTTGCTAGGTGATGGCTTGGCGCTACTGAGGGAGGCGGGATGAGACATGATCAGAGGAAATTCTTGCTATTGAAGTCTGAGCCTCTGACTCTCCAACACCTCTGCTGGCTGAGGTCCACCTGACTGATGTGCCCATGAGGTGCTCTTAAGAGCAGACAAGATGCACTTTATTTATCCAAAAGTCAGGTAATTCCTTTGTCACAGTAGTTAAAAATGAACCATAATATGAATTTAAATACAAATTTTGAGTAATAATAAATGCAAGAAACAAAAAAAGCACAATTTATAATGGCTTACTAAATGTAGTGAAAACAGAATAGCAAATATAAAATGAAATTAAAATTGTGCTTTTTTTCAGGTCAATTAGGAAAAAAAACTAAACCTCGGACTTGTTGAATGATTTCAATTTACATACATTAGCTTTAAAACAGCCCGTGAGTTCAGGTCTAAGACAAGTGGTTTCAGGTAAGCAATCTAAGCCAGCTTTCCTCTGATTGGCTGTTCCTTGCAAACAGAAGGTTGGTACAGAAAGTGGGTGGAGCCTCTTTTTTCACAGTGAGAGCTGCGTGCCTTAAATGGGATCCACTCTTAGTGACGTCCCGCAAATCTAAGAGTAGGTTTAAAAGAAAAAAAGGACTAATGGCATTCATAAGTGCAAACTCACATACATCTATCATAAGACATAACAGTTCAAACACTGAGCTGCTATGTCTGCTCCCAGATTGACACTTTGATGTGAATTTCAGATATTTTAGACTCCCAGAGACTGGCTTCAAAGTTTTTCAGTTCACAGAGTTGTTGCGTCAGACACATGAAACCTGCAGACACCACCACTGAAGGAGTCATGGAGATTACTTGTACACCCACTGACCTCGTATTTGCAATAAACGATATATGACAGGAAATAAGGAAAAGCATAATATTTCATCTTAAATCATTAAACCATTGGCTTTTGCTTGACATCGTGAGTCAAGCTCGACCATTGGGGACTAATTTATTTATTTAATTAGATTCACAGTGACCAGAAGAATCCCACTGACCTTTAATATCCCATGATTTCTCCTTCAGCACCATCATTAAGTGAACTGTCAGGACCACTACATAAAGGTTACCCTCTCAGTGAATTGTAAAAATCTTGGGATGTCATGTAACTTCATAACCACAAGGGGGCATTGTTGCCTCACTGCTGCTGCAAAACTGGTTTCCTTTGAGTTTAAAAGCTGGTGAAAGAAAAGTGAGGAAATATTTTATTTTTAGCATAACTGTGGGTTACATATTAATCCATGGGTGTGTTTGTAGAGTTACAGCTCTGTCTGGTATTTAACTCGGACTGATTATGTCTTTAGAGAAGACACAGAGGCAAAGAGCTGATATCTGTTGGACTTTTTTGTAAACTTTACCTCAAAAGGTTTGCAGTTTTTCTGTGGTTATGATGTACCCTGAAAAATATTTGCCCTCTTCCTGATTTCTTAGGGGATTTTTTTTCACACATTTGTCACACTTCCATGTGCAGATCATCAAACAAAAGCTACCTGGCTGTATCTAAAAAAGTAATTTTCTCCTAAATCTAATAATTTGTCGCCACTCTTGTAACAAGAACTGCCATCCTGAAGCCATGAAGCAACCCCAGACCATCACACTACACATGTTTGACTGTTGCTATGACATTTTTATTAAATCATGTGTTAGTGTTAACTTTTCAGTCCACAGAATATTTTCCTATGTCTTGGGAATCATCAGGATGTTTTTTGGCATACGATGAGCCTTTATGCTCTTTTTGATCAGCAGTCATTTTCACTACTCTCCTATGGATGCCATTTTTGTTCAGCAGCTTTCTTATTGTTGAATAATGAACTTTGACCTTAAATGAGGTGAGCGAGGTCTGCAGTTCTTTAGTTGTTGTTCCGGTTTCTTTTATGACCTCATGGACAAGTAATTTTGGAAGGTCGGCCGCTCATGAGAAGGTTCACTGCCGCTCCAAGTTTTCTCCATTTGTGGATAATGGCTATTACTGTGGTTTGCTGGGGTCACAAACTTGGGGCATCGTTGTCTACCACACAAGAGTTATAAGCAAATATTATTTGCCCCACTCATAATTTAGAACAATCTAAAAAACATTAACATAATATTTCTCCAACAGAGAGTTAGATTTTTGTCATTGCTCAATGTTATATTTGGTAATTGTATCGTCTTGATGCATTCTCAATCATCCAGGAAAGTAAATCTCCAAAAAGTTGGTTCTGTTCATCTGGATGTCGCGTTTTGTGGGAGAAACGTTTCGTCACTCATCCAAGTGACTTCTTCAGTCTCAGCTGACTGCAGGTTTCCCCAACCTTATAACCAGTGAGAATCTGCATAATTAAGATTAAGGAACTGACCCCCCAGCCCATTGCTCCTTCAGTGGGCTGGTTTCAGTCATTATGCAAATGTACTGTTTATAAGTTTGGCGAAACCTGCAGTCAGCTGAGACTGAAGAAGTCACTTGGATGAGTGACGAAACGTTTCTCCCACAAAACGCGACGTCCAGATGAACAGAATCAACTTTTTGGAGATTTGGTAAATTTCCAAATGGAAAAATATGTTTTCAATAATGTTGAAAAACAAAACCAAAAAACAACAGATAATGAAAAACATTTATTGAAAGTTTGGTGGTTTTAAAAAAACTGTATAGAAAACAGCTTCCCTGAAAGTTGAACCGCCTGGGCTGTACCAAAACTGTAGCCTCTTGCGCTTGAACTGTAGCTCAGCAAATACAATGCTGCCACCTTGTGGTCACTTGTAGCACCTGGGTCTTTAATGGCGATATCCACACTCTGGATCCAGACTCTTCTAGATTTTGAGAAACGTCTTCAGGACCTGAAGCTGTCTGATCGATGTAATGTTACGACTGAGGCTCTTTCTTCATTTCACAGCGTTAAGCTGCATTTGTGGTAAACCATGACTGAAGAAGATAATAGCTTCAAACAGGATTCTAGTGCTTGTTTTTGTTTCTTCACATGTGAGGTATCAATTCATTTCTTCAAGGGAGCACAATTAGGACCTAACTGTAACATCTACTCTTTACTTGTAGCAGTTTATAAAAAGATGAAATTAATATTGAGCAGAAATTATTTCAGCTCATTGGTCCAACCCTCCACAAAAATCCGAGTTTTCTACGTAGCAATTTGGGGAAATGAATTGCCCACCCCTGCTCTAGATCATAGACTGGTGCAGTTTTGCTATTTAAACTATGACATATCCCATGATCCAGCTACTCAGTTTGTCGTAGATAAATTATACAGATTTGAACATTAGATTGTGACACTTAGAGAGGGTATAAAGCGGATATGGTCTCTTGAAGCATTCATGTGGTTATTTCCATTACTTGGAAAATTACGAGGGGTCACAAATAGAGTATTCATAGTATGAATTTTACACGACCTTATTACTGTACTAAAAGCTGATTCTGATCAGGTGAGACGGACCGACTTTTCTTCTTTCACTTGTCAGCAATGCAGAGTTTAGGCTGCACGTTTCCTCCTCCCCTTCTTTCTTCTCTTTATCTCTGAAACATACATTCACACGCGTTATACAAGCAAATGTGAAAATGTGAGTCTTCGCATCTCAGCATCACAGCATCACAGCATCACAGCATCACAGCACTGACAGTTGTTTACTTACTGACTGAAGTATGGCTGCTTTCACTCTGATTATGAGCTTTATCAGTTGGGACTGGAGGCTTTGATGCCCTCAGCAGATATTTTGGTACATGCTGAAAAATAAGAAACATTTACAGAGTTCAAGAACAGCTTCATGGGAAGATTAATTTATGATGTGGCAACTTATAATTACATGAATGCATTTTTTTTTTTTTTGCCAAATCCATCTTTGAAAAAAACAGCACAGTCTGACATCCTCCTCTCTGATGCATGACTGTTTATAACAATGTCTTAATTGAAGTCATGCACCATGAAATGTTTTATAGCACATTAATTCTTTTTAATATTTTATTTTTATTTTTGCATATGAAAATGTGCAAAAGAGGGATAGTGGATATACTGGACAAAGGATGTTGACTATGGAGCAGCCAGGAAAGAGAAGAAGCTTGACTTGGGGAACCTACTTACTAGTTACTTTTGGGAAAACCCACAAATAGTGTCACGCAAAAGTTAGTGAGAGGAGGAAAAGTGCACCCGATAGCTGACATATTTACTCTCCTCTAAGCCCATTCAAAGTTGAATCATAGTCCTCAGCCTGCCCCACAGACGACGACAATGAGCTTGTCCTCCATGTCTGATTGCTGGAATCCTGTTTTCAGCCTTTATTTGTTGAATTCATACTGAATTATGTCGCTGCAATGACTAAATCTACTTTTTTCTTGGTTTTTTATTACTTTTTGCTTGTTGATATTGCAGAGACTAAATCCTACACCAATACCAGGTCTCAGTTTTTCTAAAACTGAGTAAGTGCATCAGCAATAAAAATTAATTGGCAGTATTTAGAAGTACTGTAGCATATAACATGAGGTTGGGAATTACCAAGGAGGGCAGCAAGAACATCAGCAGGTGCATGGGAGGATGTGATCAAAGGTTTCCAGTCAGAGGGTAAGGCAAGCAGGACTTTGATAGATACGTGCAAATTTGTGATTATTTCTATAAAAAGGTTCAAGGCTTCAGCCCAAAAGAGTTGCAATTCATCACACAGATATTCACTGATGCATATACTTCTGGGTCTACTAAACCTACAAGGAAACTGTACCATAGCATCACATCACTGAACAACTACACTGCAAACTGTGAAACAATGATGTGAGAAAGATGTAAATGGTAAATGGATTGGTTCTTATACAGCACCTTTCTACTCTAAGCTGGCAGCAAGCAAAAACAAAGGAAAACATTAAACTGCACGTACAGTTGTGAACTGCACTGCTAAACTGTGCCTTACAGGACTCTTATCTTTGCACATTTTTTATTTTCTTTTGCAAGTCAGGGGCTGCCAAAGTAATTTCGTTTTGGTTTTTCAAATCAAATTGTCAGTACAAATTCTGAATCTGCATCTCCATACCCTGAAACAGTTCAGAAACATATTCTATACATCTCCACAAAAGCATATTTTTCCATTTAAATATGCAGAAGTTTCCCCCCTTGTCCTTTAAAATGCATAATCTTGCATTGACTCGTGCTTCAAATGACGACCTGTTGTTCTGTTTCTTAATTTGTTTTTGTTTTTTTGCATTGCAGAAAAAGCAATTTGCAGGACTCTGAAGCTTGAACTTTTGGGATATAAGGCATATTCGTACATACTATTGTAAATGAGTATCCAGTATTCCAACAATATCTATATTTAAAAAAAATTTTTTAAAGGAACAAAATAAGGAAAAGAATGACAGTTTCTTACTCTAAACTTTTTTTTTTGTTTAGATAGGACCAGCAGCAGCTGCCCTGTTCTTCACCAACAGGCCTACTATAGACATGTGTGCAGATGCTTGACAGGTGGAAACATCTTCATGCACCAACATTAGTGGCATATCTTCAGGAAAAAAAACAGTGAGCAGAGTAGAAAGTGTGGTTAAACACCGCTGCGCTGCTCATACAGTAACAAGTATGCACTGCACGATTGTTAACATCAGAGAAACCACAATCGAGGTCTTCTCTTCCTGAGTGTCTAACACCTGGTAACTTAAGTTAAGTAAGTGTCCTTTGCTCTTACTTTTATTTTGGAGTCCTTCAACTTTACAACAAACCGTCCACAAACACACAAAGAAAACCTAAAACATCACATTAAACAGGGTCTAGGTGCTAGATTTGTGTGCATCAGTACATCCTGTTTTAAGGGTCACATGCTTCAGATATGAAGTCCTTATTTAAAGTGCACTGTTATTAAATAATTGTGATGAACTGTTTGTGAGAAAACAGCTTAAGTCCTAATGAAGACTTCAATTATCTGAATCTTTTCCTCAGTGTTTATAGGATGAATGTCGTTCTCTTCACTGTAATAGTGACAGAAAATGTGCTTCCTTTGTGCTGGAAGCCAAACTATAGTGGACAATGGAAACGAAATATATTCAGCTCACTTTAAAAGATGCCTATGTCTTTACTTTTTTAGAAAAAGGATTCTTATCTTTGCAATACACGATATTTACAATTTAGCTTGTAATTTGCATTAAGCCTCAATCACACAGGTCTAGGAACCAGTTGGTGACCCTTGGCAACTGGTTTCTCCTGTTGCCAGGGAAAATATGCATTCCCTGATTAGCTGGTGAATGGTTGCTGGAGGTTGCTGGGTAAAACTGGCTGCAAAGAGAGTGCTGCAGCAAAAAATGAAAAATTGTGAGAAACGTTTGACCTCAAAGAAAAATTGTGTTTTTCCCAATTCATCAATAACAACAACAGTTCTTTGAATAGAAGCAGTCTGCGTAATACTGAACCCACCCAGGAGGTTTGTGGTCCATAGCTTGGCCTGCTGTCGCCTCTGTTCTGGATTCTTGCGCTGCGTCGCCGTTCGTTGGAGCTGCTGGGCCGATTTGTAGAGGAGGGCCGAAGACGACTGCTGGTAGAGGGAATTTCTTCCACTTCAGCCAGGAGATCTGTAAGTTCTCCATCACTGATCTCCTCCTCTGTCAGGGAGCTTTCTGTACAGCAACAAGTTCACAGAAATAAATGTGATTTTAAAAAAAAGGAAACACTGAACGCTGAAACACTTTAACTTTCTTAAGAAAAGTGGTATATAAATAAAGTATTTATATACTTTATTTATACTTAAATAAAGTAAGTACACCCATGTGATAAAGTAAGTACACCCATGTGATAATGCCTGAGTTTTTGGTGCTTTACATTGTACTTACAACAGGTGTCTTACCTGCTGTTTCTGTGTATGACTGGTCGCTGTTTTTTTGGCAGGAATGATACATTGTTTAGCCACAGTTCAGTTGTGTGTATGCAATCTGCTAATGGCCAAAGCAATTGCAAGGGGTTTTTGGTGCAGCACCGTATACATTTTTGGGATTAATTTCACTTATCAACAGCTTAAACCTCCAGCAACAAGCAAGCTGGGTAATTTTCTCCTGGTGACTGGTGCTTCCTGAGAGTACCGGTCCAGATCTGATTTCAAACTGACAGCTATTGATATTAACAGGATCATAAACATAATGTACTGATGTACATTTTTGCCCTCTTGAGAGGAAAAACTAACATTTCTTATTACTGACACTGACCTTTGCTGCTCTTCTCTTCTGTTGCTGATTTTGTTTGCTATTGATAGGGCTGTGCGACATGACCAATGCACAAAACCATATTTTTATGGCCCTAGCAGGGCCTCCAACAGAGATTGCCCTTGTGTGGGTGTGTCCCGCCATCTCTCCTGCCTCAGGTGCCACTTTTTTTGTACAGCTGACTCCCATCAGCAATTAGAAGTACTTAAAGCCAGAGAAAGGTGAGCTCTAGTGTCAGAAACCCATGTTGGGTTGCAGCTAGTGAGCTGTGCGTGTTTGGTGACTAATCCTTTTTTACTTACTTTTCAGTTTACTGACCAACACCTGAGTTTTGGTTTGTTTCTTTAAATGGTGATAGCAGCTTGACCATCTCTTTTAATTCAGTTATTAACCATTCTGCCTCTCTCCTTCATCCCCTGGACCTTTTTAGGGGAACGCAACACATACATTTATAAATATATGTTGTAATGGCCGCTATCTCGTTATCTTCCTGAGTCTTTATTAAATGGCGTGCCGCTGGGAAAAGCCTGCTCTGACATTTGAGTTTTATTTTGAGCACAAAATAAACGACAGAGTGAAAAGATAAGCGTTTTAATATTGTTAGTCGATATATTTCATCACATCGCACAGGCCTAGTTATTGGTTTAAACTTAGTAAAATGTCATGTAAGTGCATATAAGGAACATAACATTTTTAATGGCTCATTATTCTAGCCGTGAACCTTTAACTACACACTTTTACCTGTAACATGAGGAGTCACTGCACACTCGGGACAAACCCAGTCACCTTCAGGTCTCGTGTTTAACGTTGGTCTCAAGCAGTGCATATGATAACTGGAAAGAAAAAAATGTAGTTCTGTACATATGAGCACCAGCTGCAAAACATGAGTGGCGCTATTCAAAAAGCATCACAGGGTGGAATCACGACAAATCAAAACATGTGAAATCATACCCTGAATCACAGAGTATGCACACCAGAAGCCGGTGCCTCCGGTCTCCACGACCACATTCCTCACAGATAACCGCAGCACTGCTCCCCTCCTCTTCATCACCACCATCTTCATTTTTTCGTACGCTCACTTTGATCTGGGGAAGCACAAATACCTCAGCCCACTGTTCACATATATAATGCTGGATTTCCATATGCCACCTCCATCAAACCTTCTTTTGAACGTCGTCTCCAGGGCTCCGTCTCTGGTAGATTAAAGTAAAACTGATGCGATCCACTGGGCAAGTGTTAGCTGTCTGAAAATCAATAGAAAGAAAAGAAATCTGTGAACACAGCAGTGTCTTAAAATTTCATTCACATATGTTTGTAACTACTCACTATCACTTTGGAAAAAGTGAAAACAGTGGAAAAAACACAATTCTCAACACATTACATTACTTATATTTGGCCAACAGCATAGAACTTAATTTACAACAATTTGCAAAAAATTATTTTATCAATAAAAAAAATAAATCAAATCTAAAATTCTCACCTTTAAACTGTTAAAATGATTAACCGCATTAACATTATGTTCAGTCAGTGTCAGAAGAAGCCTTTTTGTTTATATTGTTTTTATGCCGTACATACCCAAGCGAAATTCCCTATTTTCCATCAAATGAGCTGGTATGGCTCTTAAAGAATGTTAAACAACATTTACGACTTTAAAGTATCTGTGAAAGGTGAGGAGAGTTTACCTGGGACCACTGGAGAATACATTCAAGGCAAAAGACGTGCTGGCAGTTCTCCAGAGAGCCCACAGTCTGCTTCTCAAAGGGATTCAGGCAAATGTAGCATTTCACTGAATCACACATCAAATCTTCGCTTTCTGCACCAGCTGTATTCAACACAGGGGATCTATCCATCTGTTTGTATCAGTTGAAACCTTTACTATGATATAAAATCAATATGACTGATGTCCGCAATACCTTACTGCTTACACACCGTTAAAACGGAACAGTTATAACCAAACTCCATTTCAGTGGTTTCTTACAAAGTCACTGATCGACCACAACAACAGGTCAGCTAGCATTAGCCGCTACTATCATTTCCTGCTGCCGCGTTAATATAAACATATATCAAAATATGTGTAGCCTCATTATTAAGTGATTCGTTCTTTACTTAACTTGTGTGACAGGATATCAATTATATTTAGCCCGTAAAATTAAATCTGTAGCTTCTTTACTACTGAACTATTTTCATGTTCCCCGCTACCCGTGAAAACATCCGGTCCTTTTCTTTCAGAATAAGAGCGGTTAATCGCGCTTGGTCTCTTTCACTTCCTGTAGTAAAGAGATAGTTATCTTAGAAACCAACTTTTACAAAATAAAAAAAATAGTAATTGAAAAAACCGGAATGATCAGTGATTGCCCCTCTGAAGTTTGAAACATTAGGAGAAAATATTGTGTTATATTCTGAATCCCTACTGATTCAGCTGACCCTGCAGAAACATACAGCATGCTCAATCCCGCCTATAAGAGTAATAATAATAATAATGATAATAATAAAATAAAAAAAAATAAATAAATAATAATAATAATAATAATAATACATTTTATTCGAAAGTACTTTTCAGAACACTGAAGGACACTGTACACAGCAGAATAATAAAAGCAACATAAAAACAAGCAGTTTACACAATCATAAAAGCATAAGACATAAAACAAATTTAAAATAGCAGAGTGGGGAGGTTATGTGGGATAAGCTATTTTGAACAAGTGAGTTTTGAGTCTGAACTTAAGGAGAGAGAAGGAAGTAATATTTCTTAAATCAGGAGGTAGGGAATTCCAGAGTCAAGGAGCAGAGCAGCTGAAGGCCCTGCTCCCCGTGGTGGCAAGACGGGCAAGACGGGGAGAGGGGACAGATAGAGAAAGAGAAGAAGAAGATCTGAGACACCGAGATGGGATGGTGATCTGAACCAGATCAGAGTTATGGAGGGGAGAGATGATGAATAGTACCATCTACATTAGTCAAAGAGGTCTGCAGTATGCATCAGTGGGCAAGATACTGAACCCTGAGTTGCCTCTGATACATCTCCCAATGTTTTAAACTGACAGAAAAATAAAACTGTATTTTGGAAGTCATTATTATTCAAGACAGAAACGCAGGACTACCTTGCACTCTCTTTACTGTGTTTTGACAACTGACTCAAATCAGTCATTGGGCTATGAGTCCTTAAGGTCATGGAAAGGAGAGCTTTTGCTTTACAGTGCATTGGCTGTGTGTTTGTGTCTGTTCATGCCTACTCAGTGAGGAGGAGCTTTGGGTCATTTCACCTTCTGACTAGCTTTCATTTTGTGACTAACTTCTAGGGTTTTCATCTGTGCTCTTTGGTGGGTATAGTGGCTTGGCTGTCTCTTTCAGTTTAATAATAACAAAAAGAAACTATATTTCAGTCTGAATTTTTCCTAATTATAGTCTGCAGTATGTATCAGTGGGCAAGATGATGAACCTCAAGTTGCCCCCGATACATTTGTGTGACTGAGGGTATCAGAATGTTGGAAAATTAGCTTAGGCATAAAACTGGGTTCTCAATTAGAGTACAAAAGTACTATATAATTATCCAGTAATGGGTAAAGCTGGATCCCTGAAGTGTGTGAACAGTTACTTTTTAATATTTCACCCACTTATGGTGACTGCAGACAAAAATGTGTGCTTCACACAAAGAGATGATATGAATAGCAGCACTTATACCATGTATTCACTTCCTTAAAAAAAAACCCAAAACAACAGGCTCCATCACTTTTTGCACCCTGTTGTGATACAGACAGTCTGCAATCATCTGAAATGAAAAACAAGATAAACTTGCAACATAAAGATGCAAAGATGTCATTCTTACCACTACAGGGCACACTGCAGATTACTCAAACCTTCTTAATGAGAGCTTTCAGTTTACAGTTTGCAAGAATGACTTAAATCACGTTTTTCCTTTACCATCATGAGTCACTGGGTGTATAATGATGCAGTTTCATTTACCGTAGTCAGTTTCACCTATTTAACACTGAAACTACTACACAGGCTAGAATGGATGTGTGTAGAATGGTTTGATTTGTCAGAAACGTCCATTCCAAAAGTTGTACAAATAAGTAAAATTTAAAAAACACACAAAAAAACAGGTTTAACACCACACTCTGATTTTATATTTTTATCTGCATGGCAAGCCTTCAGGTACAATATGAGAGAAAGTGAAAGATGTTTGTGTGTTTTGCAATATTAAAAGAAAAACCACAACACCAATATGGCAACTCTCAAAGAATGTAAAAACTCCATCCAGCCTGATGGAAATGTTGTCAAATTGTGGGGGAAGACTGAACAGCAAATTTCCATTCACTGCAACACTTTGTATATTTTTATAGTATGTAAATGATGCTTTTGGACTGACGCGAAAATGTTCTGCTTGTTTTACACATGCAGTACTAAGCTAACACATTAAAAATACAATCAAAAATAACCACAAGCTGTTAAGCTGTATACATTTACACTGACGAGGGTGGGTGATAAAAGTACACTGTAGACCGTCATGCTTTGGTTTCCTGTGCCTGTCTCTTTGAAACAGGAAACTACACTGTCTGAGCAAAAACCAGCATGTTACATACCCTCTGTAGTCAGAGAGAAGCAGCACAAACAGGAGGTTTCATCGCGTTTTTGGTCTGCATTTTCTGCATGTGGATATCAAACGGAGTCCATAAACGACTTGGTGAGCAATTTTATATATTAATGATAATATTCCACACATATACATAATTTTAGTAATTTATCTATCAAAAAAAGACTTTAGAAAATGTTTCACAAAACCTGCCGAGATTGTAAAAAAAATCTCTGTTCTCTTAAACTTTACAGCAGAAAAGTAAAAGTTATTAAACATCTAAGAATACTTTGTCATCGTTTATTATTGAAGATGATTTACTTTATTGGTTTAATTTGTGGACGGTGACTTTCTGCCTTGTTATGCTTCACTTTTGTTAATTTCTTGAATAAGTTAAGTATAAAATCCTAAATTACTCTTTGTTTTAATAAACCAGATGAAAGCGTTTTCTGGAGCAACAACAACGTGTTAAAAGCAGAATCTACTTTAAATGTTTCTGATCAGCTTGTGTTTGCTGTTGTGTGGAACTGAAAGTGGAAAAACTCTGAATGGAAATGTGTGTGTGTTTGTGTTGCAGGAGACAAACTGTGATGCTTCATTTTTGAGAACCATCCTACGCTTCTTTTGATATGACCAAGAAAAATACCAACCTGCCATGATGAATGTGACAAACGATGACTGCAACATCCAAACGCAAGAGTACGAGTATCATCTATTCCCGGCCGTCTACATCCTCGCCTTGCTTGTGGGTTTGCCGGGTAACCTGGCAGCCCTTTTCGTCTTCACCTTTAAGATCACTCACCGCACGGCCTTCAGTATCTACATCAGCAACCTGGCGGTGGCGGACATCATCATCCTTTGCGTTCTTCCCTTTCGGATCCACTACCACATAAACAGGAACAACTGGCAGTTCGGGGACTTCACCTGCCGCCTCACAGGGACTCTCTACTACGCCAACATTTACATGAGTATCTGCTTCATGACATGTATCTGCGTGGACCGCTATATGGCCACGGTGCACCCGCACAATTACCTGAGGATGCGGAGCCCCTGGTGCGCTCTGATTGCAAGCGTGGTGCTCTGGTGCGCTGTCGGAGTGGCCATCCTGGTCTTCATACTCATGGGGCCTCTGAAAACCAACTCAGACAATTCTCAAAACCTCAGTTGTTTTGAAAATTTCGCCAAGATAGAATGGGACACTCGTCTGGGGCCATACAGCATACTGGGCCTCGTCTTTGGCTCCTTGGTGCCCACCATAATCATCCTAGTGTGTTACCCGCTGGCCGTGAGGCGCATTTCCCTGATCCGAACTAGAACAGCCCAAAAAGCTGTGAGGGTCATCTACACCATCCTAGTTATCATGCTGCTCTGCTTCCTGCCTAACCACATTGTGTACTTGCTGCACCTCCTTTACCGCTGGGAGATGATCCAAAACTGCTCCTTTGGCAGAGCCATCTACAACGCCCGGCGGATCACCATGGCGCTCATCACCCTCAACACATGTCTTGACCCTGTGCTCTACTATGTCACCACCAGCCACTGCCACTGGGAGCGATTAAAGATGACATGGCTGTGGGGAGCGGTGAGCCGGAGGAGGGGGGTTTATACCATCGCAGTGAACTGAGGACGGGGGCAACAACACACTTACTGTAAATACAGCTGTAAATAAATAAGACTCTATATAAGCGTCATTATCACTGGACATGTAACTGGAGGACTGCCAAGACTTTTCTATAAAAGTGTTTATTTGTGCATCAAAATAAAGGGATAAAACAGAATTCAAATAGTCTTTTTTTCCTCAAAATGAGTCAATAATACGAAAAAAGCCTCTGTGTGGTACATGTAAATAAAGGCAGCAGCTCTTTTGTTGAAGTTTACATGTAGACATTTCAGTTTCTCTGCACTTGCATGAAGATTTTAACTAAAAATGAGCTTCTTCTAGTGTGAATGTCCTTTGAGGCTAAAAGTTGCTTCAGCAGATTCCAGATGGAAGACCCTTTTTCAGCAGGGATGAGAGGAAGCTCCCCAGGTCCTCATCCTGACGAAAGATAAGAAAACAAACCAAACATTTTAGGGAAATAAGAAAGTTAGCATCATGTTTGTGCTTGGCACAAATTAGATTTAAGGAAGTAGCTCAGGGGTTTCCAAACTTTTAACCTCATCGGGGTTTTCCAGCCTCATATAGGGCCTGGCTATACATGAAAGTATGATTGGTCTGCGTACAGTTAAGCACAAATAGCCTGAAATACAGGGAATGCACATACTTCTATCAGGTAACACGATGCTTTTGGAAATCAATAAATAAAAGCCCCAAATATTTGAAATACAATTCTCATGATTTTCTTTTGAAGAAGGCCAAAACCTCCTTCACAGATGGAAACCTTACTTATGGGTCCTTAACATTAGAGAATAACACCTGCCACAGATTTTTAAAAAAGATGAAAATAGCAATTAAAAACATAAATTGTTTCTTACTCTGGTCCATCTTATTATGACTAACTCGTGCTAAGCTCCACTGATAAATTACAGTGAATTTGCTCTGGAGCTAATGATTCTTGTTTGTTAACAATTAATCTTCAATTATATTTTATAATAATTAGATTGTTAATTAGACCAAATGAAAAGAAAAATGCTCATCAAAATGTCCTAAACACCAGAGTTG